CGCCCGCTAGCCCGCACCCGGCGGAGACGGGTGGGCTGCAGGGAGCGGGGCGGAAGGGCGGGATGGTCGCACCGGGAAGCGGAGGGGAGCCGTGAATTTGCGAAGCGTATCGGCATGGGGTGGTGGGGGAATAGGGGCCTACTTGTTTTCCCTTGTGCTCAGCTACCAGACAGAATGAGCTTTTCCCCTTAAACTTCTGCACATGCAAAGTCAAACAACTCAGGTTTTGTGCGGCCGGATGCACAGCTGCATTTATTTTCAGTCGTCCAAGTGCATCTTTTAAGCTGTAAACTGAGGGTCTTCTCTTTGTATTTCTAGGGCTGTGGTTGTGCGGGGAGGCAAAAGATCGTACCCGTTCCATAGAAGCTGCTGACCACTCGCCAGCATGGTCGTTTTTACATGCAATGCGTGTGGAGAGTCTGTGAAGAAAGCACAGGTTGAAAAACACGTGAACATCTGCAGGAACTGTCAGTGCCTTTCTTGCATGGATTGTGGCAAGGATTTCTGGTAGGTAGAGGATGGGAAATAGCCGTGCTCACACGGCAGTGCTTGTCACCAGTACAACATTTTCCTATGGTATATTAGAATTAAATTTGGCAATTTCTGAATAACCTATATTTGTGTTAAAAATTGTACACGTTTTTATATAGCTTCAAGCTTAGTCATCCAGGTTTGAACCACAAGGACAACTAAACCATGCAGTAAAGAGAAATTCAGTCTTTTACAGTTTCAAGTGACAGTGCTTTCAGCTTGTGAGCATCCACAACTGCTGCTTATTGTGTTAACTGCAGAGAGAGTGCGATTGGCAGTAACACTGCCACTTCTCAGAACTCAGAAGAGAGCAGTGCTACTGTCTGCTTTCTAAATATAAATACATGAATTTGCATAAGAAAATAATGTTGTCCTCAAATAATGATTGTATTTTGTAATACTTTACTGACAAAAAGATTAAGTTCTATGTTATTCATTGCTTTTGGGGGACACTTACACATTGGTCAGAACTACAGTACCACATTAGTATATCTATATTAAGGAATTAGGTTTTTGCAAGCATTTTCACCTGTTAGTCTAATGATAAACTGTGTCAATACGAGTAGTAAAACACAGATAAATGCATTAGTAGGCATGTACATGGCTGTTAGTGTTACATGTACAAATGTGCCTGTTAGAAAAAGCAGCAGTATACTGAGGACTCCTCTAGTTTTGCAAGTTGGAAATCTTTGCTGAAGGCTGTAGCATGGCAGAAGTGTCAGCAGTCTTACAAGCATATACTTTACTCATATAAGCATTGACAGTAGTAGGGTTTAAATAACAGGTGCTGTCATCTTTTACTTCAGTTTGTTGATCGTGTAAGTCTTGTGTAGTTCAAAGGACTGAAACATTTCAGTGAATTACAGTTAAAAATCTCCTGTGTTCAGGGGTGATGATTATAAGGAACATGTGAAGTGTGTAAGTGAAGACCAGAAATATGGTGGAAAAGATTTTGAAGCCAAAACTAACAAAGGAGATGCTAAACAACAGGAGTGGATTCAGGTAAGGTTTGTATTATATACAGATAAGATAAATAACTGTTGTTTATAATCGTTAAAGACGCAGCAGAGGCTATACGGGATCAAACCAAGGATCTGTTTTTCCCAGTATCCACAGTTTGCTTTGGCAGTTCCTTAGTAGGTCTATTGTTTATCCTGGTAAGAAATGCACCTTTTCTTTCTTCTGAATCTATCTGTTACTGGTTTGATAAGGCATATGAATAATACCATCCAAGTCAACAGATCAGTGCCATTGTTGAGACTGAACATTGTTTAAGTACACTGTTCAAAGGCAGTATGATGTGAATGCTACTACTTAATGAAAATTGTTAGCCTTCCTCAATAGGAAGTCCCTTCTACACAGAAAGGTGAGGGATTATTACAGAGCATCCTCTTTTGGTAGTCTTAACACATCCACACCACCTTTCAGAAAACAGATTTTCAGAAGTACAGGCAGGCTTTCCCATGTCCAGTGGCTGCATCTTTAAATAATTGGGAGCAGGGCCTTTTTCCCTTACAAGCAGCAGTGCTGTTCAAGTAACTGCCACAGGGCCATGGCCTGACCTCCTCTGTTCTCCTGTGCTGAGATGTGCTGTGGTATGGAATACCCCTTTGGCTATTTTGGGTCAAGTGTCCTCTCTCTGCTTCCTCTTGGCTTCTTGTGCCCCTCCTTTCTGGAAGATCATGAGAGACTGAAAAGTCCTTGATCAGGGTAAGCATTACTTAGCAACAGCTAAAACATTGGTATGTTATCAGCATTATTCTCAGACTAAAACCAAAACACAGCAGTGCACCAGCTACTAGAAAGAAAAATAACTGTTACGGCTGAAACCAGGACTCACACCTTGCATGTATCACTCGATCATTGTGTGGCTTTGCTGATTTAGTTCTGTTTTTCTTCATTCAGAAAATTCATGAAGTAATAAAGAAGCCAAACATAAGCCCTAAAGTGCGGAACATTCTGGAGCAAATGCGTGTCTTTGATAATATTCCAAGGAAAAAAGTAAAGTTTCAGGTATGTTTTAATAGCGATTTGTAGTAATCCATGCAGTGAGCATAAAAATAGACTTTCTTAGTGAGAGACACTCTTTTAGCAAAGGTGGGACAAATTGTTTGTTTGGACATTGGTAAATAGGTTGTGTAATAGTGGAGTTTCAAATAAGGCAGTGTTTGTAAAATACATCTCCTTGGTCAAAAGGACTCTCTGTGAGCCATTTTAATTCAGTAGTAAGCATGAGACTCATCATTCAAGTTTAATCTCCATACATCGGCTTGTTCTTTTTTTCTTTTGATAGCTTTTTTTTTATTATTTGCAATTTCTAATGAATGTTCAAGTTCTTAGACATACTCCTACAGGATTCTTATTTCTGTGCTTTTGTTTTTTTCCTGGTAAAGGCAAGACGCTTGAGTTTTCCTGTGGCTCAGTATTCTGACAGAATCCCCCACACTGCATGCTGCACTAAACTTTGCATCACAGCCAAAGCAAGTTCCAAATGTTTCATGTGGTATCAGTAAAGAATTACTGACAAGCCGGCCTTATTTCTGTATTTATTTATTTATTTATTTCCCTCTCTGTTCTGTGCCTCAGATTGTGAGGCTGAGAGAAGATCATGGTTGCTTCCAAAGCACTCGGATAGAACCTAGTAGAGCTGCAGTGAAATTGCTGCTAGCAAGCTGAAGGTTAGAATACTTTTCTACAAAATTAATGTTCTGAACAGGGAAAGTGGTATTGCCAGGAAGCCTCTTTTGTTTTGATAAGATGTTGCAGTGGAAGATCAAAAGTTTTTGCAGTTCATTGTTCCAATTTGCTAATGAAGCTTCTCTGGGATTTTCATTGCAATGCAAAAATAGGTACATTAGGTTTTACTTCCAATTCCACGTTCCTGAATGTTGATCAGTTGCTGATTGTGTGAGCATATTATAAGGAGAAATTTACTGCTTTGTTTTTATTTTCAGCACTGCAATAGCCCCAGTCAACAACTCTAAGATGTTTGCATTGCGATATTTGCTTAAATTTACTTCTCAGTAATAAACTAAGGTGTCCGTTTAGGAGCATGACCATCTGTCCAAATACACAAATAAGTAAGATTAGATCCTGATGTTTTAGCTCATGGAAAGAGTCAGAAGGTTTGGCAGGCCATAAACACAACCAGCTGTATTCAAAAGCTTGAGGACTGCTATGTATTTAACTCTTCTGGATTACTATTAGTGAGGCAATTGAGAGGCATGGTATATAGCCTTATAACAAGACACAGACATTATGATGTTTAAGAGCTTCATAAAGCAAATGTATCAGAGATGCACCTTTTCCATTGTTGTTGGTTTTTTTTCTGACACAGAATTGGATGAAGAACAGTTTGAGAATTAATGACAGCACTTTGCAAGACCAGGTGTGGGATATTTTCTCTGAAGCAACCAGAAATGTAAGTTAAGTACAACAGGAATGCAGACAAAAATGCTGGAAGGAAACCCTTTCAGGCTTCTTTTGTAGATGTTAGCATAAATACTGTTTCCCATTGTTACAATGGGTTATGTTATAATGTTGTATTTCTAGGCTAATTTCCTTGCTAGTTTGTGGAACATATTGTTGCTGAAGTAGTTGTGTGTACTGAGCAGGTTGTGATTAAAAACTTTGACACAGTGACATGATTGTGACATAATCAAAAGGCTAACAACTTTACACTAGAGGTACATAAGGAAAGGGGAAAACACTATCTTTGGTTCCACTTTTACCACACACTAAAAAGGAAAACAACAGCTTTTGAGAACTTCATTGGCCTCAAATTTATGTGCATTGGAGTGGGAAATTAACAGCATCTAGTCTACCTATTTTAGTGGTGGAGAGAGATGAGAGATGTCCAGATGATAGATTCACATTGTTCTTTTTTCTCAGTGCCTAATTCTTTGCTGTTTCAGTATTAGCATATTTTGGTGTTATTATTATTAGCTATTACTGCTACTGGAAAGCTGTTACAGAAGCTTACTTCTCAGTTGGTGTAAAGATGCTGTCCTCCTCCCAGCTTCTGAGGAAGAACACAGGCATAGCTGTGACATTAATCCATTGTTGACCATGCCCCATATTCCTGATGATTCCAATTAAATCTATTCATAGTTTTTTTGAAGAATCCAAATATAAGAGCCAGGAAGGAAAGAAATACTTTTTTTTTTGTTGTTTTTTAAAGGATATGAACATAACGGAAACTCTGGGCACTGAATTTCAAGTACACTGTGTTGCTGGAACATGTATGCTGAATCAATAGAATTTCACTAAAGTCATAAGCAGCTCCCTCTAGATTTAAACTGATTTTTAAAAAATATCTCTATTATTTGTAATATATACCTTAAAGTGTATGTACTCAAAGAAAATTCTTAAGTGGAATTCAAATTGAATTGAAATTACTCTTTACAAAAACATGTTGGTTGCTTTTGTAAACATGCATTCTCTTTCTAAACAGCTACATTAATATTTCAGTAAATGTATTTCACTTGTAATTATTAAAGCTTTATTTAAATATAAAAATGTTGATTAATATATTAATTCTTCTACAAGAACAGGACCCCTAAAAGAAACCCCAATATGTTAAGGTGAGAAAAATACAATTAAAACAACCATCAGTACCTTTGTTGACATCATGCAGTAATAGTTCATTGTCCCAACCAAAACCCAAGACAGGGAATTGGATGACAAACCTCAGATTGTTACTCAAGGGCAATGTATTTGGGAATAGGTTCTGTATCTTGCTGTAACAGACCATGATTTTGTCTGCATTAAAAAAATCCCAAACTCATGGGCAGTTATTTCAAATAGAAATTATATATGTTGTAAGTTAACATTTCTGTGACGTTAAGGTAATTAGCATTTAGGTTAAGTTAAAAGAATCAGCCACACTATTTAGTGCTGTTCCTCAGGTCACTGGTGTCACTGCTTTTAAGTGTGACTGTTTAACTGATTTCAGAATGTTCTTCATGAATCATGTAGTAAAGTTGCTATGTCAAAAAGGCATGTAAAATTGTAATAATCTGTCTTTCAACAAAAGATTTCAAGCGAAAAGGAACAAGCCAAACCACAGCAGAAGGAAGAGGTTCATTCTGCAGAAACTGGGGAACAAGCAACAGCAGAAGAAAACGGAATTACAGATGGTAAAACTGAGAGGAAAAAGAATAAGAGAGAACGGAAAGAAGAGAGACAAAAGAACAAAAAGAAGGAGAAAAAAGACTTGAAATTAGAAAACCAGTCAGAAGTAAAAAAGAGTAAAAAGTCCAAAAAAGAGGAGAGCTTGGCGAATGAATTTGAAATAAACAGAAATGGCCAGCAGCGTGCAGTAGAAAAGGAAACAAACATAAAGAAACGCAAACATAAACATGCAGAAGGTATCCATCCTACACTTTACATTCTTGCTTGTTTTCAACATGTTTTTTCTTTATGCCCTAAAGCTCAGTAATTTACCTGAGTAGAATTTTTTAAATAGTAAGTTACATGTATGAATCAGATTATTTTTTTAACAGTGTGGTTGCACAGTCCTTTATAAAATCTGAACCTCTTAGCAAATATGAACTCATGTTGCAAGAACAGAAACTTTGTCACATCAGAACTTCTCTTGTAGTTGCATAAATTTTTGTGTATGTTTATCTAATTTCATCTCTAGAAGAACCTCATATCACAACAAAGAGAGTGAAAACTGAAGATGTTTCAGAAGACATAGAAACAGAAAACACCAATGGCAATGAAGAAAACGTGGGAACAGGTAAACATTCTTAAAGGGGGAGTTTAGATAGTTACAAAGCTATTCTGCAAAAGCACATTAGCCAACATAGAGGAAAAAAGCTAACAGCTCTCTTGTAGCTCTTTGCATCTCTTACATCCCCGATTTTTGCTCAGTGAATCATAAATTGGATTTTAGCTATGTTGGACCTTAGTTGATTCTTGAAAAAACCTATTTATGCTTGTCCTCCAACAGACTGTTACTGTTGGGGAATGAATGCCTGTACTTGAACATACAGATTGTTTATTTGGAAACATGACCTCTCAAGTGGGTACCATGTGGGATTGACTACCTGTGCTCTAAGGGTAAAGAAATGGGATCTTCTCAACTGTCCCTGTGTTACGTAAAAGTTGTTGCTTAGTATCTAAAGCACAGAAGTAAAACAGCCCTGACCCCAGCCTTTGAAGTAGTGTGTTGGTCCTTTATGTCTGTCCTCTTAGAATCTTCAGAAAGAGCCTACATGACTTTATACTTAGGCATCCTGCTGCTGTAGGGTCAGTAAGATACCAACTGTTGTGGTAGATTAACTCATTCCAAAATTAGGTGATTGAAGGCTGGTTCTTATGAGAGAAGACCTGTAAATACCTAATTTTACTGATGACGATGTACACCTTGTTATTTTCTAGGTAAATTCAACTGGAAGGGAACTATCAAAGCTGTTCTCAAACAGGCTCCAGACAATGAAATTTCAATTAAGAAACTAAGAAAAAAGGTACTGTGCAATATGGCTTTTCTAATGTCCTTTGGTCTTGTGAATTGCTTTCTGTAATGTTCATAAAGTTGTTCATAAATGTAAAGTTCATAAACTCCTGCCCCATATAAGCAAAAAAAGCGTGACATTATTTAACAATTGGCAGAGTATCAACTGAGGGGCATGTTCTTTATTGCTTACTAGACTACAGGAGAAATTCAGTGCTAATTCTGCAAAGGAATACTAGCATAATAGATTCTCTGATACTTTCAATAGTGTAATGTAAATGTATTACTGCTGAAAGTGGAATCATCTTTACTAACTCAGAACCATTCCTCTGTCTTTATGCAGGTTATAGCTCAGTATTACGCCGTAGCTGGTGAACATCACAAATCAGAAGAGGATATTCTAGTCATATTTAATAAGAAAGTGAATAACAATCCCAAGTTTAAAGTTTTAAAGGACAAAGTTAAACTCCTGAAATAAGAGTTTGCATACTTTTCATAACCTTTGCATTTTAATCAAACTGAGACACATTCTTCTATCAGCTGCACAAATATCTTGCACTGGTCTCAAATTGTTTATGTGAGAGCAGAATTTAACTTTAAGACTGGATTCCTCCTCTTTTTCTAGATTTACCACAGAACATTTTCAGATCTTTTATTTTTTAGTTTTATGGAAAATGTATATTTTTTGGTACAAGTTTTAAAAGACATTGAATATAATTGCTGCCTGTTCTATAAAAATTATTCTAGCGGATATAATTTATAGGCAAGAATGTTTATCAAGACCTGTGTTGTGTGACTTTTTGCAGAAACTATTGAAAGAGCAAAGAGGATTTTCATATTCAAAGCCCCACTGTGGAATAAATGTTTTGTTATGCTAAAATTCTATGACTGATATCCCCCTTTAGTAGAGGGCTTTAATAACCTGTTAATTCTGTGTTGTAACATGCGTAATAAAGGTGTCTTTCAAGTTTGTGCATGTAATATTGCACAGTCAGTGAAAATCTAAAGATTGAGTTGCATATATACGCACCGTTACTGAATGTCTTAGTGATGCAACTGACTTCAATGCAAGTGCTCACTTGGGTTAAATGGATGAAATAAATTACTTTAAAACACCACCAATATTCAGTATAATAGATCTTGCCACCTTATGATTGTATAATAAACCCACAAATGACACAGATTTAAAGAGGCTGTTACGTTGCTGTCACCAGAATAGACAGGTCAGAAATCCTTCATGTATGTAAGAGACAAGATTGCCCAGGGAAAGCTCCTTGAAGTTTACAGGGGTTTAATCAAACGCAAATACTTCAGATAGATAGGAAGTTTTCTACCGTGAAGTAATCTGTTAAAAACAGTGGTAGAAAGCCAGGGAAAAATTCTTGCAGTAGATAGTATGGTGTTTTGGAAAAGTGCACAGTGATTTCCAGCAGATACACTTTTACAGAACTCCATAATGAAAATACCTGAATTTATAGGAATACTGAATATATTAAGAATAGATGAAGAAATTAACTGTCTGTTACACTGGGTCCAGTTTTTCTGAATACATATTTGCTTATTATAAAAGTTGCAATAAAATGCCTAATACATTTAAGATCCCTTCAATAAGTGCTTGTTGTTAATTCATGAAAATGGCTTTGGAGAGTGTCGTGGTTTAAGCCCAGCCGGTAACTCGGAACCACAGAGCCGCTCGCTCGCTTCCCCACTTCTTCCTCCCCCTGCTCCCAGAGGGATGGGGAGGAGAATCGAAGGAATGTAACTCCCATGATTTGAGACAAGAGCAGTCCAGTAACTAAGGTATAATACAAACCACTACTGCTACCAATAATAATGATAAGAGGAATAACAAAGGGAGAGGACACAACCGCTCACCACCCGCCGACTGATACCCAGCCCGACCCGAGCAGCGATCTGGGCCTTCTGGGTAACTCCCCCCAGTTTCTATACTGGGCATGACGTGCTGTGGTATGGAATACCCCTTTGGCCAGTTTGGGTCAGGTGTCCTATCTCTGCTTCCTCCTGGCTTCCCCTCCTCCCTGGCAGAGCATGAGACTGAGAAAGTCCTTGGTCAGAGTAAACATTACTGAGCAACAACTAAAACCATCAGTGTTATCAGCGTTGTTCCCAGGCTGACAGTCAAAACCACAGCACTGCACCAGCTACTAAGAAGGAGAAAAAATGACTGCTGTAGCTGAACCCAGGACAGAGAGAAACAGAATAAAATTTATTTACAGACATGGAAAAACTTCGAGAAGTTTTGAATGAACACATTTCAAAAGCTTAGATTTCTTTGGTTTTAATGTAGGAAAGGACATAGAACAAGTCTTTGTCAGTGAAATTTAAATCAATTCAGTGCTGTTAATCTTCTCACTGTATTTATTTTACAACTAATACTGTTAAATTACGATCCTAAATAGTTTTGCTACTGTAATTGTTACAGGTTTTCTTTCTTTTTGTTTGTTTTTTTAGTTAGAACTAATTCAAATTACACCATTCTTTTATGCTTCTCATCTTCCATAGCGGTTGATCACAGCACATGTTTAACACGTCTAGAAACATGCACTGAACCTTTGCTGATGATACTGGTTCTTGTGATGACAGCAGCAATTACAGGTGCACTTGGCAGCTGCTGCCATTGTGGCAGCTAATTCTGTGCCATGCCTTCGTTCTCTTCTCCCTTACCCTCAACCTAGGATCTTGCCTCCTTCTATCCAACACTTCAAAGCACCAGTCCCATGTCCACAGGCCGGGGCTGTCTTCCTGCTCCATGCCACCTCTCCCATCAGCCAGCTGGCTCCAGCCACCCCATGAGCTGTGCAGTAGCACTGCTGGCCATGCTGCTGTGTGGAGCTGCCTGCATCACCTGCGTGTTCTTTTAATAAATATTTTCTTGCCATGCTCATGAACTGATCAGCTGCATCTTTTTTCCTTTTTCAGACAGGTAAGGGCAGATCGGATTGTTCATGCCATGCACTAAATATTCACAGCAAATTCTTACTTTGGAGTGTTGCAAGTTTTCTTTTACAGCTTGGGAGAATGACAGTTTCTTATGCAAAGCACCATCAGTTTCTAATCTCCAGACAAAGCTGATCTCTATCAGATGGAAACAAAAGTCTAAAAGAACCTCTGAAGTTGTGCAGCAGTTCTCTATTCAGCCTGACAGATAACCAGATACTTGGTTCCTGTCACTGCAGTGTTCTGGTGGCTGATGCTCAGGGTTTACTTTCAGCAATCACTGAGTGAAGTGAAGCAGCAGACTAATGTTCAGAAACACCACACATCAGTTTAAAGCTGAAAATAAGGAATATTGATCAACAATACACAGATGAGCTATCTGAGTAGGATTTGACCGTGGCATTTTTTCCTGCAGTAGCTGTTGTGATTCTTAATGGTTCAGATGCCAAACTTCCCCTGTCCATTGCCATGGGTGTGCTCGTAGTGCCTATGTGGGGTAGTAAACGTGACTTCTGCATCATATTCTTTCCCATTCTGTATAATAGGCAGAGCAGCACCAGCCAAATGGTTTGGCAGACATGCATGAAATTAATGCCTCTATTGATGGTCACTAGTGGGAGTCTACTGTGCCTAAGTCCTGTTACAGTAGCATTACCTCATTATATATCATTACAATGGTATTACGTTTTCCTAGTTAGTCTGTTGGCAACAAGAATGGGTGGGGGAGGGGAAGCAATGTGCTCTGTAGGTATGTTTATCTTGCTGAATGTTCCTGGAAGCACTGTTGTATGGTAAATGTATCTGTATCTCCAATTATAGATGACTTAAGGTGTTACTGAAGTCCATGCATAGGCACATTATTGGCATGCAGCTCTCCAGTAAAAAGGAAAAAAAAATACCTCTGTGTCTTTTCATTAGACAATAGATTCCTTGGAGGACTGAAATTGGCTTTTCAACTTACACCATATTTGACCTTTAATTTATTCCTTGCAATAATGATGTCTCGATACGATTGAAGCTACCCCGTTCTTTAAGACTACCAATTTAGTGGTAGTTGTTTCAGAGGGAGGCATAATCCCTTGCTGACCATTCAGAATATTTCATGGAGACAGAAAAACAGTAAGGCCTGATTTCTATTGGTGATTAATGAGCAAATTTACCAGGAGTTTTTTAAATCCCATGGATCTGTTGCAGTGAGGTTATGTACCTTCGAGGCTCTTGTGGTTTTAAGTGGGGGAAGGATGTACATCCTTAAGATTTACCAAATGCAAGAGGGCAACAGCACCAATTTACCCAATTGCATTCAGAGAGCATGTAATGTTTAAAAATAAGTATTCCAGGCAGTGTAAGAGAACAGCAAGGCACAACCCACAGCAGTGATGTGAAAACTTGCCAAGCACCTGCAGCTTAATTAATGTGCTCATTAAGTATTATTATCTGATCCCAGCTTCTAAGTCAGATGATTAATTTGATGGAACAGCTCTTAAGTCCTCATTTGAGTGACTTTGAGGCCTCTCATCTTTGAGGACAAATGATAGGACTGACATCCCTCTGCATATTCATGCTTTTGAAGAAGGAAGATCTAGCTCACAGTAATTGCAGTGGTTCTGAGTGTTGTGAGTGTGCTGACTGCCAAAATCATGTGGATTTTTTTTACTATTATTATTGTTTTATTTTCCACCAATTGTATGCTTAGTAGTTATTGTTAATGTCAACTGTCACACTGAACTTAGGAGAAACCACCAGATAACAGGCACATAGCATTACAAAACGTTCCAGAAGATGTTTGGTTTACTGATTTTCTAAACAGCATAATGGATCTCCGTAATAAAATACACCTTTTTGTTCAAGTTTCCTTTCTAAAATAGTGTCCTAGAAACTGAGTGTCTTGGGCTCAGTGCAGGGAAGGAAGAAGTAAATTAGAAAACTGTTTAAAGCTAGTGGCTTTCTTTAGAAGTATGGCACAAACATTTAAGCAGGGAGCTTAATCACTGAAAGAAAAAAACTTCAAAGGAAGGTACCTATTGCTTGGGCTCAGACCTCCACTGTGCCAGTGCATTAGTGTAGTTCATTCTTTCTCCCATCGAAAACTGATCCTCCCACCTGGTGCTATAATCCGATTGCAACAGTACAATGTAGTCAGCCTCCGACAGGAGCAGTAGCTTAGGGCTGGTGACCACAGGATACAGACACCCAATACATGATTTCATTCAGAAACTTTTAAAGCTTACCCTTCTTAAGGAAATAAGAGAACAAATATTAAACTTTTTGTGTGAGATAAGTAAAAAAGGCATATTGTTCTATACATTGAGCTGTATTCACAGGTTACAAGCTGTATCAGGCAGTATATACAACATTGACCCCTTTCTTCTCCCAATTTAGCCTTTAAGAAAAAAACAAGAATAAGTCCTCTAAGTTTCTTTTCTGCTCTGCCAGCCAAGAACAGCAGCATATTATGTTTCCCATTGTACTTTCATGGAAAGTGTTACTTTATATTGAATTCTAAACTTCACCTGGACT